CTATATACTTGGAAACTCAAATGAAATATTTTAATACACTTTCCTCGAGCTCTTTTCTGCAGTTTTCCTGAAATTTTATGTGGGTCCGACGTGTTATTTGAGTTTAACAGTGATTCTCTACGTTGCCATTAATTTGATTTGTTTGTGTGTGTGTGTGGGGGGGGGGGGGGTATTTTTATTCTTAACCTATTTAACGTTGGAGTTGAATCTTGTATCTTATTCCAAGAGCTTAAGATTGATTGTGACATTTGGATGAAAGGTCAACGTCATTAAAAACCACCACCTCTTTAACTTCTAACCTGTCAACCGAAATAAACGCTGAAAGGTGTTTCTAGATACATGTACATGTACTTCATGTTTCTTTTTACCCTTGGGTCAAGGACAAAGGTTAAGGTCGATTTCAAGTTCATAGGTCAAGGTGATTTTGGTAAATAGCTAATATCAACATTTTATTCAGGTTACCAGTGACCTTGACCTAAGTTTCAAGGTCAAGGGTAAAAAGATCTGCATGCTTCAGTATGTTACATGTCTTGACATTTAGAAGTTCTTAATTCTGCATGAACATCAAACACTCAAGTATACTGTCTTTTAATACATTGTGTGCGGTCGCATGTGCATGCACGTCCATGCATTTACTTTTGATAGTAGTATAATGTAGGCAATCATTATATCAATTCATATTTGAAATTTCACCCTGTATTATTGAGAACCAAGAAAGTTGTAGGCATTTAAAGTTTTAGCCAATCAGATTGCAGCACACGTGCATGTGCGTGCGTTCATGATTATTCTTATATATCATGCTGTAGATCTTCATAATGTAAGACTATGTTCAAAATTTCAAAGGATTTTGTCAGAAAACAAAATAGATATTTACACTTTTAGTTTCAGCCAATCTCAGCGAGGGGCACCTGCATGCGCGTGAGATCTTGCTATTTTGACCATGTCATCATGTCTATACTACTATTATATCCTTATATTATGAGTTTCAAAGCATTTCATCCAATATTTAAAAAGTTACGGCTAAATCTATTATATTGGTCATTTCACGTGTTACACGTGCGCGCACATGCACGCACGTGCGCGCAAAATGACCTTCGTTCCGCACATCTACATAACATACCTAGTGACCCTAAAAAGGTTTCACCTAGATCGGATGAGTAGTTTACGAGAACACTCGCGGACAAAAAAGTACCGGAGAACAAAGAAAAAATTCAGAAAAAGTAAAAACAATATGTTCCCCAACTTCGTTTGGGGAACATAACAAGTACATTGTATTTAAACTTGAAATAATACAGTCATGCAGCATTAGACGCATTTATTGAATAAATATTAAAATATTCAATATCTAAATTTTGAAGTCTGTTTCTCAATTTATGGTCTTTGGGCCTGACGAGAAGGATACCCGATAACTATCAATTGAATAAATGGCTTCTATTATTTAATAAGATATCAAGCTGAGAAGCTTTTTCTGTCATATTTTGTCCCAAACTTGGTAAATGTATGCTGAAATTGTTTGTTCCTTTAATGATTTTTTTTTACCCATATCGAGAAACCAACACATGCACTTTACGGGTGGAGAACTGCAAATTTTAGACCTATACTCGGGACTTAGGGCTCTTTAACAGCGATTGTCTTTTTCGTGCTAGTATCTACTGAGACACGTGAACTCAGTTTATATGGTCTCATCTGAAGGACCGGTCTCCATACCGTATCTCAAACACGCGAAGGAGAATCAACACCTTACTCGGCGACTCTAGAGCAAACGCTCTAACCACTTCACCATCCGGGTGACTGCTGAAATTACTTCATTTAAAAATAAATAAGATTTCCTATGAAAATCATTATCTTAAAACAAGATTTTGTTTCAATGAATGGTGATAAGGGATGATGAGCCTTTCATTCGTATGATTAATCCACTGGAAAATTTGACCTGGGTTGTTTTTAGAAAAAAATTCAAAAAGTAACATTAAAATGCCTTACTCATTGTATATCTTTTATACCTTATAGTTCAATGTACTGAGAGGGGCTGTGTTTGCCACTGCACTTGTTGCAGAGCTTGCCTTTTTACTCCTAACTGTGGAGACTGCTACAGGGAGTGGAGTGGTACACTATTAAATAGATGTCAAAGAAGTAAGCATAGTCTCTTATCTTTATATCATCAGATGAATTAACTGAATGCGATTTACTGCCATCAACATTGATTTTTATTGTGTTTTTTAAAGTAATATTTTTCTTGCTCAAGAAAATTCCATGAAACGAATTAAAAAGTTATAGTAAATAAAAACTTTTAAATGAATGGATCTTAATTTTTAATCATAAACAAAATGAACGAATTGAAGAATTTTTTCCTCGTGTGTTTGTATTTGAAGCATCCTGAATTCCAATATATTAGACACAAAATTGAAACGAAAATCAAGACTCTATTATTCAAAATCATAACTCTTATTAGGGTTATAGTCTTGAGGCCAGAAGAAGATAGTTTTTGGTCTTATGTGAAAATGTTCGCAAGAATTATATATTGTTTTAATTGTAAATGTACTTTTTTGCTTGGGCCTGAAAAAATGCTTTGGTTTCATATTTTTGTCATTAAGAGCAATATAGAGTCTCACGTGGGTTTTGTGGCCCTGTTCCCCATGTTGTTCTGATTACCATAAAGCCAAATTCAGTCTATTTCATTTTCAAAAGCGAAATAATTTAACTTATTGAAAAAGTGATATTTTATCACAGTGAAAAGAATAATCAGTTTTTTCAAGATGAAAAAATGAGAGAGAATAATTCTATTTTCCTTCCCTTCAAGAGAGAGTGTTGCAAAATATTCTCCATGGCTAGTTATGAAATATATAAAACCACCAGGACAGAGACAAAAGCTACTAAAATCCGTGTTTAAACGTTTCCAATCTTCAAATTGCTGATATTTGATGTTTCAATTCAATTCAATATTTTGTTTTTGATTATTTCATTTATATCAGTTTTGACATAGGATGTTGTGATATTTAAATGAACATTTCACCACTCGTGAAATGAATTCAATACAACTACAAATATTGAAAATTAAAAAAAAATCGTATCGCAGTTTCTTTTACGGCCTAATATCAACCCAAGCTTGAAATCGCTTTTAGATAAAGACAAAAAATCGGCAGGTTTTGACGGTCAATTTCAAAAAGATCAAACAGTAGAATATGGTTTTATTTAAAACAACAAAAGCCAAGAATTTACTATTACAAAACGGCATTTTCTTTAAGTATTTTAATACTAAAATGTTGATTTTGTCAGAACTTACATGTGCATTCCAACACACAGCTAGATGGTTCATTTTTTTTAAGTGTTTAATTCGTCTTATGCATTGTAATGCAAGTGTCAACAATAGTCCTACTTCCTAGTTTTTTAACCCTAGACTTTCAACATACATGTAGACTCCTTTCATTTAAGAATGCAAAAAATGAACAAAAAGTATTATCAATGATTTTTGTACTTCCAGAAAACATTGCCTACGGAGTGGATACAGCTTCACAGACAACAACTTTAGTTAAAGGATATGAAGCGAGTAAAGCAGTTGATGAAGATGAGGAAACCTTTTCGAGCACCCAGGCTGGCTACAATGTCACATTTTCCTTAGAATTTTCAGATGTCAAAAGATTAAAATACATATATATCTATTATTACGAACGAGGTGAGATTTTGAGTTTTTATGAGTAAAATTTTAATATGTAAGAATTATGTTAAAAACTTTTTTAACCATGCTATCGATGAAGTTGATTAAGTACATGTACAAGGGTCATGGTAAGTCAAAAATAAAATGTACGCCTGGGAATAAAACATTTCACAATCGAACAAGCTGAACATTTTGTTAATCAAATAAATTCAATCAAGAACTGGTAAATACCACGAATCTATGAGATACAAGGCTGTATTAGCTTGGGAAATGTTCTTTCTGACATAATTAATTTTATCAAATAAACTCTTCAATATGACTAAAAATAGTCATATTGCAGAGTTTATTTGATAAAATTAATTATGTCAGAAAGGACAGAAACTAAACTTATATATACTCTGTTTAGATTTTACTGGTCAGATGGAAGGCGGTAAACACTACTATGAACCATAATTTGGTAATCTCTCAAGGAACTAGAAATGATGTGGTGGAAAAAATATTTGGAGATAATAAACAGTTTCTTTAAAAATCCAAATCAGGAGTAGAGCAAACACGGACCTCTAAAATATCAGAGGTTGGAGGATTGAGCGACCGTGCGCTCCTTGATTTGATCGGAAAATAACTACTTACAAATAACGGAAAACTCTGTCGACCCTAATGATATAACGATACAACAATTAGAATATAAACGTCATGCAGTCAACATTTGACTGAATAATACATGTAGATTGTATTTACTGACAAGGTAATTGTATTGAACAGAGAACTTACAAAATGATGAATTTACTCGAGACTGTTGATATTCTAGTTTCATCAACTTCTTTGTCAATAATCAGGGATTGGCAACAATTTGCTTTTCGATATGATTAAAGAAATCGCTGTGCTTTCAGTTTCGGATATTCAAAGTTCCTCTGAATGTCTTAGCAGACACTGGGCAGCAGAACAGGACTAATTAGCGAGTTTATTGTAGTCAGGACACTGTAACCTGTCAATTAGAAATTTAGACATGACTCATGAAAAGTGGTTGTTGTAAATTTTCTCTTCCTCTTAAATTTCATCTTTGGAAAATCGTTTAATGAACCAGATCTTCAAGAAAATACGGTCATCCGAAAGTACAAAGAGGGTCTTTTTGTTTTTCATCACACTGTCTTTTTTTTTCATTTCCTTCTTCCATCTTCCTTGGTAAAATATATGTGCCACAACAATGTTTGTTTTGTGCTTTCTGTCTGTTCAACTACATGTGTAGATTAAGAAGTCGAATCATGTGCTTATGGCCAAGTATATGAACCATGAACATCTGAAAACTATAACAAGCAAAAATTGTGACAAAAATGTGTTATAAATAACTAGAATTTCGAAAGCTATCTTATTCCAACCCTTAATGTTACCGTCAAACCAAGTGGTTAGCCGTTAAAAAAAACCGCTTATAGACCAAACAAAAAAACATTGATATAACCATCAATTGTCGCCAGGGAAATAAATAAAGTAAAGAATGGAAATTAGTTTTGATCATCAAACTGCTTCAATAAAAGGGCATACATCTAAATGATGGAGACAATAGTCGAGAATATTTTGAAAACTTATAGTCGGACCAAAAACGATACCCTTTTTAAACTTTATCAATTCCTCAAGTAAATGTTGGCTACATAAAATATAAATTGAAACTAGACGCATGCATTACCTACGAGGGTTGTCCCAAAATTTCGTAGACTGAGCTCATATCTTTTAAAGAAATTAATGTATCTTTATAAAATTTTCAGGATGGATAAATTGTGTTCTTGGCAGATAAATTGCGAAGTTTTATTATCATGTTTACTTGAAAACTCTTCGAGTAATAACATTTAAAGTGATATAGTTCTCTAACACCCGGTGCAATCTGCAACGTCAAAAGATACAATTTATGTCAACGGTTCAATTTTTTGGAGAAAATATTTCAATTACCAGAATCAAATTTTTAAATTAAACGAAACGGCTATAATTATAAATGTAAAATATCTTAATTTCTATGAAATGATCAAACATTAAAATATGTAAACAAAGTATATGCATGTACAGGTATGAAATAATAATAATTTGAAAACGGTATATATTTCTACGGGCTTTTCGTCTATTTTCTCTACTGGATTTGCACAATGGAACTCTTGCCCATTTCTTAGCCCTGTCTTTTATTTTAATTACTGCTATTGACATATACATAGAGAAACCGTTTTAGTCATTTTAAATACTAATGAGGAGAAAAAGTTTCCTAGTCTACCAAACATTTATGACTGGTACATTTCTATGGAACGCTGTCACTGCCTTATAGCAGAACACTACAATTGCATTGTCTCAACTTTCTATTCCATTATGTCAACACTTTGTGACATTTGCTTACAGTACTATTGCATTGAGTCAACCTTCCATTACCTTATGTCAACTCTTTATGACATTTACACACGCTACTATTGCGTTATGTCATTTTTCCATTACATTATGTTAAGTCTTTATGGCAATAACTCACACCACTATTGCATTGTGTCAATCTTTCATTACATTATATCAACTCTTTATGACATTTACTCACACTTTTTTTTGCATTGTGTCAACCTTCCATTACATTATGTCAACTCTTTATGACATTTACACACACTACTATTACATTGTGTCAACCTTCCATTACATAATGTCAACTCTTTATGGCATAAACCCACACCACTATTGCATTGTGTCAATCTTCCACTACATTATATCAACTCTTTATGACATTTACTCACACTACTTTTGCATTGTGTCAACCTTCCATTACATTATATCAGCTCTTTATGACATTTACACACACTACTATTGCGTTATGTCAACTTTTCATTACATTATGTTAACTCTTTATGGCATTAACTAGCTCTTCAATTACATTGCGCCAATCTTCAATTGCTTTATATCAGCTCTTTATGACATTAAGTCAAAACAATTTTACGTGGTGCAAAGATGTTTTTATATAATTTCAACTTATTATTACATTATGCGCACTCTCTACTATTTGGTCTAAGTAATTCATTACATGATGTGAATTTATCTTTAATTCAATATCAAGTCGCTATAACACGATGTCAAAATTTCATTACATGAAAAAAATTGTCACATGTGGCCAATTCTTATGCTGTTATATTGTGCCATCAATATGCTACATGACGACTGGAAGCTATTACATGATGTCAATTTTCCCTTACTTTTTGACAAATCATTATTATGTTATGCAATTGTATCTTTACATTGTGTCTAAAATGCTTAGACTCTTGTCAGTATATCTTAGAATATTTCAACTCTTTATTGTGTGACGTAAGGTGTAGGTTATGCCTAAAAGTTCGTTTTGTGTTTTCAATATTACATGCACGTATGTCAAGCAGTGATGCAAAAAATTTAAATTAAACATATCAAATATTAAATTATACACAAGACTTAATTAATTATTAATTAAATATCAGGTTAAGTTTTATGAAAAGGATCATGTTCCCGTGGATTCTTTATTGACGATTGTTTTTTTTTTTAACTTCGAAATTCAATGGCCGTTAAATCTCATAATTATCGCAAATCAAATAGTATGTGTCATGCAGCAATATTTTCCTTTTTATTTTGAATTATTTTGAAAAGTCCGAAAATTCTGATCTAACTATACAAAACACTGTCCTAAGCTTTTTAACCCCTTTTTAAAAAAATGTAAACACATCGTATTTCATACGTGCACTGGTGGGTGGGTGGGGAGAGGGGGGATCCCGCCCTCCCACCTCTATTGACCAAAATATGCATGAAAATAATCAATTTGTTTTACTTTGTAGGACATTGCATTAGTTTCAAATAAAGTATAACTGAAATAAGTTGAAACGTTTTATATTAAAAAAAACCTTAATCCTGAAAGCCTCCAGGCTTTCACCCCCTGGTCCCTAACTTAGACACCATACCGTCCCTAGCTACTTTTTTCAAGAACCCAAGATCGCCACTGATATGTGCCTATGTTTACTGAGGCAAGGTCAATTGATTTAAGTGAGGGACTGGTAGATTTTTGTAACAGAATTCTAGTCCTGGATTGGTTGAAAAATGACTCATTCCAGTGACGTTGCATCGTTTTTGAAAGTTTGGGGAATTTGTCAGCCAAAAAAAAATAACGTACAAGAGAAAGCAAAAAAAATGTACAAACTCGAAAATCCTTTTTCGGTTGAAAGAGGGGGGGGAGGTCCAACTTCGATCAGTCCTTAAAAAAATTCCAAATATACTACATTACCCATATACTTCAGCAAAAAGTGGGGCGGAATTTCAATGAACATTTTCTATGAGAAAGTTATGTCGGAAAAAGAGAGGAAGCCTACGGAAGCCCATTGGTGCCACGTACGAAAAATATTTTATCTGGCGGCCGCCACTTGTATATCTGGCGGCCGCCACATAATTATGTGGCGGTCGCAACTTATTTTTGGCGGCCGCCACTTAATATATAGCGGCCGCCACATATTTTTCTGGCGGCCGCTACATAATATCTGGTGGCCGCCACATATTTTTCTGGCGGCCGCTATATAATATCTGGCGGCCGCCACATAATTTATCTGGTGGCCGCTATATAACATCTGGCGGCCGCCACTTATTATTTGGCGGCTGCCACATGATTTATCTGGCGGCCGCCACTTATTTAAATGGCGGCCGCCAAATATTTATCTGGCGGCCGCCACTTATATATCTGGCGGCCGCTACATAATATATGGCGGCCGCCACATAATTTATATGGCGGCCGCCAGATAACACCTGGCTTCCTGAATCGCGCGCATGTTTTAATGTGTGGTTTTAGAGGTGGATACAGTGTAAAAATTATAATAGCAACATCAATCAACCAAACTTGTAAGAGATTTATTATGAACCAACACTCCAATCCACACTTCTAATAGATATGTTTTTACATAGAGCAGATTAATATTTGATTTGAATTATGCAAGTATTTGTAGAGTGTTTCGATTATTAAGAAGCCTCATCAGGGGTCACGGACATAAATCATGGTGTTTGCTGTAAGCTATGATTGGTTGAGAATTAAATGAAGTTTTGCATTTTGGATTTCCAAGAATGGTGTTCCAATATTTCAGAATTCGTTTTTTATCATTTACTTTTTTTTTATCTATAAGCAGCGGTTGTGTCAACATCCATCTTCTTAACCCAATAACACTCACCTTTTGCAAAATTATGTGGCGGCCGCCAAATAATAAATGGCGGCCGCCAGATACATAAGTGGCGGCCGCCAGATATATATGTGGCGGCCGCCAAATAATAAGTAGCGGCCGCCAGATATATATGTGGCGGCCGCCAGATAAAATATTTTTCATACGTGGCACCAACGGGCTGCCAGACCTTCCCCTCATATAATGTGTCTGTAATTCGTCCTAATTAATCAGGACCCCCCCCCCCCTTCCTTTCCAGTCATGAAAACATGGTTATCAACTTTGACATAATGTAAATGTATTTTACAGCACGTAATGAACATTTGTAATCAACATTATAAAGAATTAACACAGTGTAAAGATAGTTTTAAATCACATAAGAAAGAGTTGACATAACGTAATTATATATCCACATCACGAAATGGAGTTTTGACATAATGTAATAAAGTGTTGGTATAATATGGAACGCCGGGACTGTCTCCATAACATATGTTCACATTATGTTATAAACCTTTTTAAATCACGTAATAAAGCACTAACATAAAGGTCGGATGTTTTCACCTTTCATTGTGATGACTTCGGCGTAAAATAAAGGTACATTAACATCACGTAATAATGCTTAGTTATAATAGAAATATACACTCATAAAAGGGAATGGACTTTGACTTAGCGTAATGATAAATTTAATCATAGAACACATGTTAAACGAAATTAACTTGACGTAATGCAATTTTTGACCTCACATATTAGAGAAATGAAATAATATAAAGAAACATTCATTTCACGTAATAAAGTTTTAACACAATGTAAACATATTTTCACTTCACATATGAACTTTGGACTTCAAGTTATAAAGTGCTGACATAATGGAAGAATGTGTTTACTTCATGTAATGCAGCATTGACATGATGTAAGATATTTTTACATCACCCCATAAAAAAATTGACATAACGTAAAGATATGTTCACATCATGTAATGATAGATTGACATAATGAATGCATAGTTTTATGCTATAAGGCAGTGATGGCGTTCCATACATTTACGTAAGAGTGAATTCAGGATCAAAACACTTAAAGTCCAGTGCGCCACCTGTGCCAACGCAGCTGCCATTTTGCAAAAAGTCCGATTTTAACCCCATGTATATAAAACGTTATAAAATTCGTATTTATCAAACACACACACCAAAAATTGAGAAAATATAGTTAATAAAACAATATTAAGAATTTTCATTTTCATTAAAAAAAATATAGGGTAGTATTTACTTTTCCGTAGGATTTAATTATAATATACCAAATTTTAGTTGCAACTTTTGGGTATTGCGCCGCCTTCCTACACCAGACAATGAAATGTGTCTTTTAAATTGGAATAATTTGTGTAGTTACTCCATATTTGTCCATAAATTTATAAGATAGTGTTTGTTTAATCTATATACGAAGTATCATTCATGTATGACGTTGGGTTCCTACAAAACAACGTTTGTCTACGGATTTTGGGACAACCCTCGTTTATTAAAAAATGTATTACACTTATTTAAGAATATAAACCATAAACTGTGTAGAATACGTTTTTATGCGTTATGCAAAATTTAATGTTCTAAAAAAGGGGCCGGTCTTTTTTTTTTTTTTATAGTATATGATAAGCTATGCAACTTTATATATTAAATATGAAAAACATACATATTTTTACAGATTTACTTTATGGAAGTAAATATTTGATGTATCCCGTAATTCATAAAGGGAAAGAACATTCTGATTAACAATCTTTTTATTGTTTAGAAAACCTTTAATTTTGAATAACTTCTTCCACCTAAATCCCTATACACTAACACTTAAACTTATATGTATAGAGCAGCCCGGTCCCCCGGGCTGCAATAATCTACGATCAATACGATAGGCACGAGTTAACAAAGAATTATATACGATCACTACGATTTGTATTCTTTTGAGTCCTTTATTTCACTCGTGGCGCCATTCTTGATAATGGGACCATCTAGTATTAAGGATAAATAACACAAACAAACTTTTTTTTTCAGAAATTAGCATTATTTCTCATAGATTTCCATTAAAATTGGTAACCTGAATAATGGTAACCAAGTAGAGTGGAAGAATTATATAAGATTTTGTCATAAGTTTAAAAAATTGTGCAAAATTTTGTATGGAATTGCATAGAAAGCAAAACAAAGTCTTATATCTAAGCACCAAGGAAAAACCTACAATTTCTTTATAATTCAGGGATTTATTATTTATGACATTTCAAATCAAAATCAGTCAAAAAATATAGATCAACCCGTGCATCCATTTTTTGTTTATGGTAAGTACCCTTAAGGTTTAAATATTGATGGCTTTAATTTTTAAACAAAATTATATAAAAAGTGGAAAAATACTATTTAGGAGAAAATTTCAGGTAAACTATAATTCTTTCTAGCATATTTTTCTTTAAAATTTTGGATGAAATCGAAATTTAAGAGCTTGTGGTGTTTAGTTTTGCATAAACTATACTTGCATATGGTTCTTAGGGCAAACTTCTGGGGAAATTGGCCCACACATTGCTCAGACTGCACAATAGCTTAAGGATATGGAGAATAGTTTGACTTCAAAAATTAGTATTTGAGACGCTTTAAGTTGAATTGTCTAAATTGCAATAATTAATGCTACAAGAATTTCAACATCTCTTGTTTGAAGACAGCTTTTGCGTCCAGATATCCTTTGTTGTTGTTTTTTGTCCGTTAAAATAGCTTTGTTCATTACAAAGCTTTGATATTGATCCCTGTTTGTTACCGTGTACGTTTACCTTCACTTTTGACAATTGGTATATTGTTATTCAAAATTATTCTATATTTTAATTTTGAATTAAAGAATAATTAATCTTACTATGATATAAATATATGTTCAATCAATAAAAAGGTCGGATTTTATTTAATTTACCACCAAAGAAGAATGAAAATTTTCAGATTGTTTCTGTGGTTTTGTGAAGTTTTAAACTTTGCTTAGTCAGCTAATGTCCTCCTCTTTTTAAAAATGCTTTTAAATAAACTTTATCATACATTTTGCAGGTCAATTTGAAGCTCGTTATGAAGTTTATGTGAAAAACTCTACTGAAACCACTCTGACAGTTGCTAACTTGTGCAGAATTTTCCTTTCAACTCCAAAGGAAAAGTTATATTCTTATTTATCTTGTGATCAAATAATGATCGGAGATTCGGTAGTCATCAGGAAGGTCGGCTGGGGAAGTTTAAATCTTTATGAAGTAAAAGTTTATGGTAAGTACAATTGATTTGACTGCTATGTACAAATACACTAGATACTTATTTCTTTTCTTTTTTTTTGCAAACAATGCTATTGTGAATAAAAAATAGATGCAGTAAAACTACACTTTCAATAATATTGTAAAATGAATATCCTAAAATATATTTCAGAAGGCGTAACAGCTTTCATGCAGGTTATACAATTCAAGTTACTGTAGAAGTACTTTTTCCGCGTGGTATTAATTAACGCTATGTACGCGGTCACAAATATTCCACGGAAATTTGTCCAAGCGAACTTAATATAAATGTAAGGCATTAAGTGACAATCTAAGAAATCTGCGTACGCGGATTAAACAGAAATTGAGATTCCGCGGAATTATGACCCCGTGGAAAAAAGTACGTTTACAGTATCTATTTGAATAGTAGTAATAATCTATAAAAAATATTTTTTAAAAAATAGTAACCTTTACATTGTTGTTTATGCTCAGCTGAACGTGAACACCCTTGAGCTTTTTTGTTTAAATACTAATGATTCTAGATGATTCAAAATGATTTTTTAAAAAAACAAAAGTATAATTGTGTTGAATAGCACAGAGTGTACAAATTTAAAGTGAATGCATCAAAAACTATCTCACAAATTGAAAAAAGTCATATAATTACACTGAAACTACTTTAATTTTCAATATATTTCATTTCCAGAATGTAGCCAGGGAACATACGGAGAATTCTGTGACAGAAGATGTTCCAACTGCTTAGACAATCGATGTGACGGACTTACAGGAGTTTGTATATCGGGTTGTAAATCTGGTTGGTATGGACAAAATTGTGACGGAGCATGTCCTTCTAACTGTAAAAGTCCTTCCTGTAATAGATATTTAGGATGTACAGAGTGCCCTGATGGCTTTAATGGACCCGGATGTGAAAAATGTTTGGCGGGTACTTACGGCAAAAACTGTAGCATAAAGTGCTTGAATTGTCATCCATATAACTGTAACAATGTCATTGGATGTCAAGAATGTTATACTGGTTTTTATGGCCCAAACTGTAACGACTCCTGTCCAGAGAACTGCAAAAATGGAAACTGTTTGAAACTGTCTGGACTCTGTGAAGATGGGTGTGAAGACGGATTTATGGGACGGGATTGCAAAACACCCTGCAGTAGAAATTGTGCCACTTGTACTTTAAATGGTCAATGTCCATCGTGTGCTGAAGGATTGTATGGTGAACAGTGTGAATTAACATGTCCTGAGACATGTGGCGGGAAAAGGACATGCGATAAAGATACAGGCCGGTGTGATGAATGTAGTGCTGGAAAATATGGTGAAAATTGCAGACAAACCTGCAGTAAAAATTGCATATCAGATACCTGTCAAAGGGACGGGATATGTACCGGTGGATGTAAAGAAGGATGGTTAGGTATGAATTGCAGCATGGAATGTTCTGAAAAATATTGTTTAGAATGTAGTGTGTCTGGTTCAACAGTTTTGTGTAAGAAATGTGACGAAGGTTACTATCTAGACCAGGATCAGAAGTGTCAGACTTGTTCACCTAATTGTTTAGCATGTGCGAGTGAATCGAAATGTACTCGGTGCAAATCCACGTTTACTGGAGATTTGTGCAGGGAATGTAATAAAAATTGCATCGATCATTTGTGTAACATGGATGGGATTTGTACATACGGTTGTAATAATAGAAAGTATGGGGTAGGATGTTCTAGAGAATGCAGAGAAAACTGTGATCATTGTTATAGTGACAGTAATTGTACCCAGTGTTCACCTGGGTATTATGGACGATATTGTAATCCTTGCTTTTATACAAATTGTTATATCTGTTCCTCATATTACAAATGTCTCTCCTGCAAACCTGGATTCTATGAAAGAACTTGTCGGTCTCTTTGTCCTCCAGGATGTTTGACCTGTAATGCCTCAGATTACTGTACCTCCTGTAACGAGGGCTGGTCAGGCAGGACATGTCAATGTAATGTAAACTGTAAGGACGAATGTGGAGACAATGGAAAGTGTATTAATGGATGTAAGAGTTCGTTTTATGGTGACCATTGTAATGCTTCCTGTCCTGTGAAAAATTGTCAAGTATGTGATCAAAAGTTTGGAAATTGTACAAAGTGTGAGGAAGGATTTTATGGAATCCAATGCGATATGGAATGTAGTATAACATGTGTTGGGTCACTTTGTGATATTGGTGGTGAATGTCTTCAAGGCTGTCAAGAAGGTTTTTCTGGAGAAAATTGTGAAATGAGTCAACGTGAGTAGCGCATTGATATAATGTTAACTTCAAGATTGGGTTAATATTGCACAAACTCACATTGCTATGCTACTCTTCAGGTAATAATTTTTCGTATTTTTTAATAGAAAAAGAAGATGCTGCTGATACTTCGATGTACGTATTTGTGTTGGTTGGAGGAGTACTTCTGGTGGCACTTGTTTTAACTGTTGTGATTGTCTTAAGAAGGTTACCCTCTCTCTCTCTCTCTCTCTCTCTCTCTCTCTCTCTCTCTCTCTCTCTCTCTCTCTCTCTCTCTCTCTCTCTCTCGTTCAAATTTCGACCAGTAATGTTATATATTTCTCGACTCAACAATAATATTGTTTTAAATTGTTAATGTTCAGAAACTTGCGAGAAAAACAAAAAAGTTTATCGCCTTCTGTGGAAAATCATATAAGACTGACTGAGCGTTTAAACGAGGAGGATCGGATTTATGCTAATGGTAAATACTAAATTAATATAAACTAAGAATTGCAATTTTAAGGGGGTTATGTAATTTTAAGACATTTTTTTCAATGAAATTCATTTAAAATGTAATAATTATAGAAAATCAACAAAACAACAGTCCAGAAGTTCAGACACGGTCATTGTATTCGGAGATCTCACCATACAACCTCCGTGGATCGCAAGCATTCTTAATCGAACTCGATCCTAATGACGTAGATGAAGTCGAGATACCAACACCTGCTGAGTCGGACTATTATAACGTGAAGATAACTCTTGTCCCTGTAGATCAACTTTGGGAAAATGTTCAGGAAAAGAAATCCAGAGGAGAACTTAACAAGGAATTTGAGGTTATTTGTAGTGTCTTATATTAAGAGGATAAGTAAGCATCACGAAAATATACCCGGTTATTGTAAACCTGAATGTATCGTTTTAAATTGTCTCATTTTTTGCGGATAGAGCATACCAAATGGTCTCTTAGAGTCATGCAAGGAGGCTTTGAAACCACAGAACAAATCTCGAAACAGATACAAGAAAATGTATCCTTGTAAGTCGATTTCTGTCGATTTTCAGTTTGACAGTTTAAAAATGGTACACACATTGATCGTTTAATTAATATTTATTCTTTTTGTAGACGACTCAACCCGAGTTATTCTACAAGTAGAAAAGGGAACAGAAAACACAGATTTTATCAACGCTTGTTTTGTGAACGTATGAACAAGAAATGTCCTTTGTGGTTACAGTATATCTAAATTTATAAATAAAAAAAAGATTTAAGCCATTCTGAAATTTACACAACAATTGATATGAAATACATTAGGTAATCAAACATCATTCTGATGTTCCCATTTTTTAATCAAATAATTGAGTTTTCATATAATTCTTTTTTTTACTATAGGGATTTGAAAAAGAGAAGGAATATATAGCTGCTCAGGGTAGGTTTTGATTGTTTTGCAGTTTGATATATTTTGAATTCCATCTATTTTAACTTATAAAAAAAATCCTAATTTATATTTTGAGAAGTTTTCCATTTTGCATCTGATTTTCCTAGGTCCATTTACCCCTGAAACTGTCTATGATTTTTGGAGAATGATATGGCAGCAGAATTGTGGGAAAATTGTTATGCTTACGAATCTCGTGGAAAACGAAATAGTATGAATCTACTGAAATTCATCGAAGGTTTAGTACATTTTTAAATGTTCATGAAAGTTACCTTACATTGAAATCTTCATTGTAGATTAAATGTCAGAAGTATTGGCCAGACAAAGAAGAGTCATATGGTCATTTTCGAGTCAAATTATTAAAGGAAGACATCACAGCTGACTACACTGTTCGAGATTTTATTCTTTCAACGGTACGTTAGGGTCTAGATCTTGTATTTTCAGTAAATCTCTTCTTCTTAGTACAATGCTCGGTTATCCTTGGACTTTCAGTAAAGATGTGGTATTGTCGACGTTACGTTATTACACATTCATTCATTTAAAGTTAAATTTAAAGTTGCTGGGGTTTTTAATTTCTTATTCAATGAGAATCTATTTGCCATTTGAGAGATGTTAACTACGTAGTTTTGAGAAAATCAGGCCTTACTGAAAGTCCAAAGTTAAATGAGAAATGTACTATATTTTGGACAAACTATTAATGTAAAACATTTACTAGCATTTCCGTAAAGAAAGTTATTTCTGTTTTAATATTGTGAATTCTTCTTTAGGTAATAACTAAAGATATTTTGGAATAGAAAGTTATCTTAAAATTCTGAATTTAAACGAAAAGGTTTATTGATTAAAAAAAGACAATTCATTATATTGAAAATATCGCATCAAAATGTTTTGAAGTAGATAATACTATTAGAAATCAGTCTTTTAAAGTATATAATGCTATTTCAATGGTGAAAAATGTCATAGTTTTAGTTGACATTTTCATCTTAGAACGGGAGCACAAAGGCCTTGACGCAGTTCCATTTTACCGCATGGCCAGATAAAGGTGTCCCCCAAAATGTGACATCGATAGTGGATTTTAGGAACAAAGTTGTCAGCCATGAAGCCAAACTAGATGGACCAGTGCTAGTTCACTGCAGGTACTTTAGTTTAGACCAAAAGTGCAATTTAAAAATTTATAGTTTATTTAGTTAGTTTACACTTCATAGTGAGCGTTTTTAGCTCTTCTGAGCCAAAGGCTCAAAGAGCTAATGCTTTGGCCATTTGTACGGTGTGCGTTAACTTTATAGAATATGGGCCATAACTCAAGAACCCCTAGGCCAATCAGTCTCAAATTTGTCATCCTTGGCCCAAGGGCTACCATTTATAGTAAAATAAGGGTTGGAACCCTTGAACAAGGGGAGATAATCAGGAAAACAAAACCAAAAGTACTGGTTGCTAAAAAATCTTCTTCTACAGAACCACCAAGCAGATTTTCACCAAACTTACATACACGGATCAGGATATGTTGAAGATATAAAATTGCACGGGGAATTACCCTGGGGTAAAGGGTGTGGTCTCAAGGTCACTTCAAAATTGACCTAAAT